AAGTGTCAACGCAAGGATTACAAGGAGAAACTGAATTTCGTCCGCCATGTTACAATGCAAAGTGCTCAAATGTGCGTGCGTATCTTGCTATAACTACGTTTGGATTGGTGAGAACAACTCTGGTGCTTTTGCTCGCGTTCACGTTGCCTGTGAGAACCAGGCCTAAGCACCCGCGGAAAACTGTTCAAAAAAAGTTCAAAAAAGAAATTTTTTGAGTCTAAAAAATCAGGCCAGTTCTGTCCATAAAAAGGAGATCCTCTCTATTTAAGAATGTGAAAAAGGTTAGACTACGAGTAGTCCCCCATTTTTCCTCAGGGATAGTAGAGCGAGCGAAACGCGAGCGGGCGTAAAAATCACCCCTTTCTCTCTCCCTGTAGGGTGTCGCCTTTTCTCGCGTGGGGTGATTTTCACGCGCCCTCGCGTTTCGCTCGCTCTACTATCCCTAAGGAAAAAGTGGGGGACTACTCGTAGTCTAGAAAAAGATAGGATTGAAGACATCGCCATGTAAATCCGCGTTCACATTCCACTAACTGAGTCAGTAAAAAGGACAGCAAACTTACCGGTCAGTGGTATGCCTGAAAAACCACACTTTTTCTTGATTTCCATGACGTCACGCACTGAATGGCTTGGGCTAAGGACTATGGGATCGTTGATAAATCCTTGTTTGAACTTTTTGACCCTGCGCACTTCATTAGCTTGAAATTCAACGCTACAGTTGTGATGAATTATCCCTGGAAAATGCATTAACAAGAATGAAAGAAGAAGGTAACCTAAAAAAGAGCTAGTACTCAAATCTGTAATTACAAGATCGTTGAAAATATAGAGGCCCACTGTAGAGCAGTATATACAACATCAAGAGCCATGTATTACCGGCTTCTGACACCAAAGCCGACATCACGGAGGTTAGCCTGAAATGTCATCCGGTTCTTCGCCCCACCCTCCAACGGGCGGCAAGGAAAGAGCCGGGCCTTGTCACCCGTTGGGGGGTTGGTCGAAGAGACGGATGACAGTTCAGACTAGACAGAGGTGAGGAGAAGGGAGAGGGAGTACTTTATGTCAACGTCATAAAAAACGCAAGGATCTTAGAAACTCGAACTTCGTTCTAAGCGTTTAGCCTTTAATTTCGGCCGTTTCCGCCTACTAAACCGTGGGATCGCGGGTGAGATCGCCCCACTTCCCTCCGCCCCCACCTGGAAGGGGATCGAGACGGCTGACATTTTAGACTACCAGGCGTTCAGATAATGGAGCGCGCGCGAAAAGTAAGGCGAGCGATAAAAAGGAGGAGGAATGGGGAGAGCGTCAATCCACAGTCTTGTGCCCTCCCCACTCAGTACGCAAGTACTGTGCAGCCCTTGTCACGCGACTTACCGTTACCTAACTCATAAAACTTAAGCGACAGTGCGTGTCGATAAAAATTAGAATCAATTAAGCACTGAGCTGAGTGATTTATAGTTAAGACTGTTTGCTTGTCGACTCTGAAAATAAGGGTCATACTAATATTTAGATAAAGCTATGGACACAACGTGTAGATTTACAGACGGAAGCTGGTTTACGTGATATCTTGCGCATCATTGTCTCTATTTCTTATTTCACTTCCTCCATGGATTTAGGTACTCTTGTTTTCTTCCAGTAGAGTTTTCAATAATCCTGTTAAGCATAGCGTCCATTTACTTTTTTGAAAAGAGTGTACAAGGAATAGTATGGTTGTGAATTTTACTGCCAAATTATTAGAACGCTAGCCTGCGAACTGCAGACGTATTTCCGGTCGTTGCTTCTCTGTTTTTATAATGTACCTGTCAGACCGAAGCCCTCCTACAAGCCCGTAAATGTTTACTCTGGAGACCTCCTATTTCATGATTTTCACTGAGGTAACTTAAGAGTCACTTGACTAAAATATCAACATTTGTATTAAACTAAAAATAGTCAATTTACCTATTCCTCCGTGAAGTGCCATAACGATAGCCATCTTTGACTCAGTAACAGTATCCATGGGTGAACTTACCAGCGGGGTTTTGAGAGTAAGTTTTTTGGTAAGAGCCGATGTAAGATCAACGGAATCCGCTGTGAAATTGATGAATCCTGGCAAAATAAGGAAATCATCGTAAGTTAACCCTTCGCCTTCTTTAAACAACTGATTGGCGCTTAGTCCATCATCTGGAACGTAGCTTGTGTGACCACTAATTAACAGTTCCGCCATTAATCATCAACTTGTGAGTCCTCGTGTTCTTCAATACGCCGGTGACTCGCTGAGTTGATCGTGTTCGGTTAAAGATCTTGAGGATCTGTAAAAACTACGATGATGGCTATAGCTCAGCGTCCAACTCGATTGTCACCTGCTTGCTTCTACTCAAGATATTGCACACCGAGTTTTAATTCACCGGTCTGTCGACCTCGTGCCGGTTTCTCTAGACTCAGTGTTTTCAAGAAGTGAGTTTCTGCTTCCAAAAGCTGGAGTCGTTTTGTGATTTCGTTCGCCTTGGTCGTTTGGGGGTGATGCTGT